TGAACCAAAAAGTGAAGCAAAAAGGTAACAGCATCACTTTGTGATGACTTGTAATATATGGATTACTTTGTTGCATTCTTTAGTTTAATAGTCCATGTTTTAAAGGCCTGAATTTTCTCTCACCAGTGTAAACTGAAAGCTACTCCACTGAAATTGAGTTATGTCAGAGTAAAACTGGTATAAGTTAGAATTGGTTCCTAAATTGGCAGTGGCTTTAGATTGCAAATAAATACCCCACACTTAATAAACAACCAGTATCCAGATAAACCATCTTGTTAGCAAATATGCTAATCTTGTAAATAAGTTATTTGTTTTGCTGTTAACAATTGGATTTTATAATGTCTTACAGGGGAAACTGGCGGGGCACAAATGGGAGTTAGGCACTTAACTCATGTTTGTGCCTTCAAAAACTTCATTCTGTTAACTGTGTAGCAACTTGATGAGTGGTTCTGGGCATTAATTATAAAGATATTCTTCATAGTTATCCAAAGAGTCACCACAATTGGGCAGTAGTTCTCAGCCTTTCCAGACTACTCTACCCCTTTCAGGAATCTGATTTGGCTTGCATACCCCAAGTTTCACCTCACTTAAAAACTACTTGCTTACAAAATCAGATCTAAAAATACAAGAGAGTCACAGCACACAGTTTCTGAAAAATTGCTTACTTTCTCATTTTTACCATGTGATTATAAAATAGATGTAAGGACAATATTTATAATTCAATTTCAGTGTATAATATGTAGAGGATAAACAAGTCATTGTATGTGTGGAGGAAAAATGAGAAAGTAAGCAAGCTTTCATTTCATACATTTATGCATTTATGCATTTCAATTTAAGTGAAATATTCCATCAATAGTAACTATATAATATAAGAATGTTCATATGGGGTTAGACTAATGGTCCATCTATCTCCGTATCCTGTCTTCCGACAGTGGCCAGTGCCAGAGGGAATCAATGGAATAAGGCAATTATTGAGTTACCCATCTCCTGTTGTCCAGTACCAGCTTCTGGCAGTCAGAGGCTTAGGGATACCCAGGGTAGCTACAAGGACATACGGAGCCGGGTAGGGAGCCTGCCAGCCCTGCCAACCCTCCCCAGCTCCAGCAGGGGTCCTGGGCTATGTGCCACTACCTGCTTTCTCCCTGTCAGCATCAATGGGGGTCCTGGGCTGCTGCCCACCTCCCACCCAGCACCTCTAAGGGTCCTTGGGCCACCCCCCAGCATCTGCAACACTGCCGGGCCACCCCCCCAGCACCTGCAACTCCCCTGGACCACTCGCCCCAGAGCACCCGCAGCCCCCCAGCCCAAGTTTTAGTCAGGGGTATATAGTACAGGTCCTCAGCAGGTCACGGACCGTGAATTTTTGTTTACTGCCTGTGACCTGTCCATGACTTTTACTAAAAATACCCATGACTAAAATATAGCCTTAGTTATTTACTAAGCATTGTGGAATCCTTACCTCCCTTACTCTCCAGCTTTAAGGAAGTGAAGTGAATGAGACAACTGCTGCTTCACCTTCCTTACATTTTCAGTACACAGCAAAGATACGTATATTCACTTGTATAGTGCTTCCCTTCCCAGTAAACCTGTAAGGCCCTGTGCATGTACTTTTTTGTGAAAGCTCACGTTTGGCCCAAACCAAAACACACAAAAAGGCATGTCTCCTCTGCGCAGGCTACTTCCAGGTCTAATGCCTAACTCCAGCTGTTTCAGCACTTTAACTGTTTAGATTTCTTTTAATGCTAACAGATTTGTAAAGTTCATTTTATTTCCCCTACTTGTTCTCAAACAGTTGAACCTATTTTGCTCAGACCGTGTGCCTATGAATACAATAAAATTCACTTTTGGACAAATGCCAAGCCTGGAATATATATTTGTCCTACAGGCAAGTTTCAGAACATTACAATGGTCTGAAATGGGTTAGAATGGAGAACAGTGTGCACTTTTCACTTCCATTAGAAGTGAAGGTGGGAGGGAACCCTCCATGTAGTGAATCACACACAAAAGGTTATTTATTAAGCAGAAATTAATGGTGACCAAAAAACTGAACTTAGGAAAGTGTCTTAAACGCTAGTTTGTGCAAAATATTAAATTAAAAAAAGTTTAAATATCAGCCCATTTAGGTCCCAGTCCAGTACCATGAGATTTAAAAACCTTAGTAATTTAAAACCTATCAGTCCTGCTGAATGTGTTCATAGTAAAACTTGGTTCAGTGTGATGACAGGTAATCTGAGATCTTAAACACTCTTGTCTTTTCAGCATCCCTAAGCCTAAAGGAAAGAGAACCAAGGATACAAAAAAATCTGTAAAGGTAACTTCAGAGCTTCAAGATAAGGTATGTGGAAAGTATTTAAAACTACAGATTCTCGATGGCTGGTAAACAATGTCCAAAAAACAAACGACTTTTGGTCTAGTAGTTTTCCAGCTCCTAACACTCTTCTCCTGTTCTCGAAAGCTCTTTTGCCTGTGTTTTTCATGTATTTGTCCATAAGACACTTTCTGTTCATGCATGTTTACCAGAATCTAAGAAAAGTGGAAACAAATTCTTTTCTTTGGAGGAAAACCATTTCTCTTTAAAGCTAAATATTTCAGCTTAATCTAGGATAGTCTTCTACATACATCGATCTTGGACTTCTAGATCCATCTAACCTTAAATCTGTCTTCTGGTCTCTATGTGGAAAAAATGAGGAGTTGTCACAATATGTTTGTATGGTGCCTAGAGCAATGGGGACTCCCAGCCTAGTTACCTGTGTTAGGTACTAATGCAATTTAGTTTAAAAATAAGGAGATAGCCAGGCCATTAAACATATGTAGGCCATTACTGTGAAACTGTTTCAGTAGCACCTAGAGGCCTCAGCCGGGGTGGAGCCCCATTGTGTTACGCAATGTACAAATATAGTGACAACTCAGTTTTATAGATTATTAATTATTTATTATTATACACATGCTGGTGGATGTAGATCTGGATTTTTTTTTTAAATCTGTAAGTAGATCTGGAAGGATTAGATTTAACTTGGTAACTGCTTATAATCATCTTCTCCCCAAAACAGTTTCTGTCCTTAATAGAAATTTACAGACAAGAGTTAGATAGACACGTTGATAGTTTAAAAAAAAAAAAGTGCCATCAGTCATATTCCTTCTCACACATGTGAATTTTCTGAAATGCCTACAGTCACTCAGCTTTAAACAAACATATTAGTCTTTTCTGCTAGTATGAAAATATTTAACAAGAAAAAAATTGGGAATATAATATGTTGAAATTTGCTTTAAAAGATGAGCCAAGGAAAAAACTAATATCATAGTTTTGCTTTAAGGGATGCTGTTTCAAATCTTAATGTTTCTTGCAGATCTGTAGTTCATTTAGGAGCTTATTTGGCACTTAAGCTCTATTCAGCACTCCTTATTATTTGCCATAGAACACTTTTCAAATGTTCAAAAAGAGTTGGTCACATTTTCCTGAATGAATCATTCATGCTTATTCTCCATTTCAGAGGTTAGCTGTTTGTTAAAAATAAATGTTAACTGTTCAATACTCTTCCTTAGCCAGTAAAACAGTAAAATACGGTTATATTGTTTCCATAGTATCTACTAACATGAAGCAATGTATTTTTTTCTCTTACCAGAATGAAGATATTCCTATCCACTGTATAACCTGCAATTGTGAATTTCAGTCCCGGAATAAACTGTTTGAACACTTAAAGGCCACAGGCCATGCAAAAGCAATGCAAGCACCAGCTGTAAATGGTGCTGGGAATAGCAGAAGCAAAAAAGAGAAACGTAAAAACAGATAGGACTTCGCACTTGTTTTGAACTGTCAGTTTTTGGATGCATATCTGAAGAAAACACTCAAAACCAAAGGACAGCAATCCTACAATCTAAATTAAATTGGGAAGCAGTTCTTGGGCCTGCAACAGTTCAGTGTGGCAAAACATTTTTATCTTGTACAAAAAATTTGTTTAATTTTTTACCAACAACTAAATTTCATCTGGTCATTCCAGGGGCTTTAAAGTCTTGAAAAAATAACAAATATTCTTAAAGCTGGTCGTCCTAGATACCTGGTGGGACTTGTATGAATGAAAGTGTACAGGGGGAGAAAATAAATTATTTTAACACGTTGTTCTTTTTATTTTACAGAGCTCCTCTAATACGAGTTAGGATGGACAGGTGTCTGTCTGACCATCTGTCCATGGTAGACCACCATAACAACACCAAAAACTTATGTCTTAGATTTCTACGTTTCTCTACTGGGACCCCAGTTCCTATCTAGGATGTGAAGCAAATTAAAGCCCCACAATTATAAAACTATTTGTAGGATAAGGGTTAATCTATCCCTAAACTTGGCATACACAGCCAAAATGTAAAGAATAAAATACACAAGGGCAGTGTGTGATACCTTTTATTGGACCAAGAAATTAACTCTCATTTGTAAACTGAATTGACAATAATTAGTTGTAATTTATACTTAACAGCTGAATTGTTTAATCCTGTCTTTACCCTGAACAGGGAAAAAAGGTTATCTAACATCCATGAGCTCTCTACTGATGACAGGAGGGGAACATAGCACTTTGTGTCAGCAGCCTGGGATGGTATTGAGTGAAGAGGGAGAGCTGCTACCAGTCCAAGGAGAAAAGATCACTGTTGAGGGTGGGCAGGAGACTGGATTAGAACCCACCGATGAATGATTATACCCTACTTTTTTTAATAAGTATCTTCCTCTATAACTACTAAACAAAATCCATCCTCATGTTACAGGCTACGCATACAACTTTCCTTCATTAAGGCCCTGCTTGAAGAGCTTTCACCAGCCCCTCTGCCCGGGAGGAATTTCACTCCTTCCCCTCACTTCCTATGATGAGTGTAATAGTAGCATAGTTTTCCACTAAGTGTTTTTCAGGAGCGAAGTATTGTTTGTCCTGTGATGCGGTCTCCAGTCTTGGTTAGGAAGTGCACTAGCTACTAAGCAAATGTCACTGGAGCAAGATTACACAGAGCACTCACTGTAGAAACTACATCCAGAATTTCAGCTATTAAGAGCAAACCAGCCAGGCATAAAGAAAGGAAGAACTAACCCTGATATGATATAATTGTAAAGGCAGTAGTATTCAGCATGCCCTTTCATGTAATGCGAGCCTTAGTATACCAGCCAATCTCACTTGCTGGTGTGACATGCAGGAAACCTAGTCTGAGACTAGGTAGACGGCACTGCCTAATTTAAAAACATGTTTGATTTGTGTTAATAGGTATTGTTTTCTTAACATTACACTAAGACTGATTTCTTGCAGGTATAGCAAACTGAGTCAAGGTAATCTTTCACATTTAAATTCTTAAGAGTTACATGTTTAGGAAAATTAGATCAATCTTATCTTCATACTATAAATTTTTTGCCAGCTGTAGTTGTAGCAAGGTTTTAGGGCTTGGACGGTGAGTCTCAACTGTTACCAAACATCCTCTGTAAGGAGAAAGATTGCTCAGAGACTAATTTGCAGCTGTTCTTTCCAAATGTCTCATCAGTGCAGCATGAAATACTTCCACTGCAAAGGCTGCATCTTGTTTAGTAATGCACATTGGAGGTTTAACTCTAAATGTCTGAGGAGAGAAAAGAAGAAAGTTTTTTTTTAAACTGGAGGCAGAGACCAATTGATGTGCAATGACACTAATACCATCACAGCATTTTTAAAGGTTAGTAATCCTGGAAAAAGTAAGATACCAAACTAGTTGTAACAATGGTAATACCAGCCTAGCCTAAGAGCTGTGCGTTAAACCCACCTTCGTGGAGCGCAGTAGGGAAAGTGCTGCAGTCTGTCCACACTGACAGCTGCTTGCGCACTGGCGTGGCCACGTTTGCGGCACTTGCAGCGGCAGTGGAAGCGGTGCATTATGGGCAGCTATCTGAGCATGTAAGTGACTGCAATGTGCTTTCCAAATGGGGGTGGGGTAGAGTGTGACAGGAAGTATGTTGTGTGTATGTGGGGGGAGAGTGAGTGGGGTTTTGGGGGGCTGAGAGCATGTCAGCATGCTGTCTTGTAAGTTTAGACAGCAGCAGCCCCTGCCTTTCTCTCTCACACACACAGCATTCCACACTAATGGCTTGCATGCCGGCTGTCAGAAATGGAGCTTTGAAAGGGCATTTCCGCATTCCTACAGGAGTTCAAAACAGTGCCAAGAGTGGCCACTTGACTTAAAGAGATTATGGGATGTTTCCGGAGGCCAATCAGAGCGCAGTAACGCAACACCTCATTCACACTGACGCCCGGGCGTTGTAGCCAAGGCGCAGCAAATGTTATTCCTCCTGTCGAGGTGGAGTTCCAGCAGCGCTGTAGCCACAGAGTTAGAGAGCTCTACGTGCCTTGCCAGTGTGGACGGGGAGTGAGCTAGGGTGCCTGGGGCTCCTTTATCGTGCTGTAACTCGCAAGTGTAGCCAAGCCCTAAGAGTGGCAAACTACTCCCATGCAAGAACCACACCCACACTAGCAGATGCTAGGCACATGGTTGAGCATTTCTACATTGTGATTTAAGAAACCTCAATACTACAACTGGGCAGAAGAATTAAATAAATGGAGGGAGCCCTAGCTAGTCATCCTGAGATGTGTTGCTGCAGGAGTCAAGTGTGGAAAAATAGATTAAAACTAGCAGAAGGAACAGCCAGTGGGTAGAAGGGGGAAAACAGTGCTATTTTCTATACTACGTGAATCTATTTTAGTAAGATGTGATTTAAGTAGTGCACTTCAATCACACACACTTTTCATCGGCAAACATTTCTGCATGGTTCTATTCTGCAATGTAGTTTTAACATATGTTCCCTTACTTAATTTGGGTTTCCAACTGTTTGAATCCACTAGAACTAAATCATTCCTATTTGAATTCCACTGACTTTTATGTAAACCCTCCTGGTGCCTATCACCTGTTACAATTGGGGCTGAGTTTTGACTTAAATATTATTTACTTCCATGCTCTCCAAACATTAAACTACACATCCTAGGGCAAACTGTCTAAATCTATCATTAATATGCATACCTGGTCTGATTTTTTGAGAAGTTGAACACTTACAACTCCTGCTGCCTGCAGGTGCTCTGTCCACACACAATCAGGCTGAAATATTACTAGACCTTCAACAGGTGCAAATCTGTTCTTATCAGTTGATTGTGCAATGCAAGGATTAATTTGAGGTGGAGTATGCACATCAGCAAGTCTCCAGTGACCCCTTTCCCTACTGTAACTTATTCCCAGGAAGCTGGCTGATCTGAGGGAGCCTGGTTAAGTCCTCTGCCTGTCTATCCTGACTCTGAACACTGACAGCAGTAAGTTAATAAACCCTACCATTACCTTGGAGGAGGAAAATGCCAGCAATCCTTTGCTGCCTGTTAACTTATTTCACTTGAAGTGAAATAAGATCTCTCACACAATTTACTGGGTACAATATTTAATAACTGTGTGGGTCATGCCCCCATATTGATGGATTCACAAGGAAGAGATGTTCTGTCTTATTCCCAGCTGGATAGAATTTTATCAGCTCTCCTGATTGTATGCTGTACTGATAAAACTGAACAACAGGCTAGAATTGATAGCCGTAGGCATTGCTGGTTTAGAGAGTATCTAAATACTAGAGATAGGGAATTCAGAACCGGCTGCTCGATGCATCAGAAATTACTATTGAGGGTCACATTTCTTGTCTGAAAGGTAGGAATCTTAACAGCAGTAAATAACATTTATACTGAATACGCTATAATTGAGAGGATTAAGACAAAGCTTCTTGATCTGCTATATTCAGAAGTTAGTCAACAAGACTCACTTTTTTTTTATAATTCTTAAATTAAACAAGTAATTTTTAGAAGAAGTCAAATCCACTGCGATTTAGTCAGGACAAAAGATACATAAAAGAAGTCCACATCAGTTACTGTACCTGATTATAAATTCCACCCCTGCCAATCAATACTCCCATGTCTTTGCAATCTTCCCAGATCGGACTCATCTCTTCAGCTGGAAGGGGTTGACGACTGTCCTGTGGAAGGCGGGGGAGGGGAGGGAAGAGAGAGAGACTTTTTTTGGGCTAGATGTTTAAATTATGGAAAAAGCAACAAGTGTTCCATTGCCACCACCCTCGGAGAAATGTAATGATTGTCCTGCCTTTTAAGATGGGACTACTCAGAGTTTCTGATGTATTAAGCACTTTAAACGTTCTAAATTTTAGACAGTGGAGAGTTCTGACTCCTTATTTTCAGAGAAGTAGCTGTCAGTCGGCATACAGTCATTTCACAGGAAGCTTGAATCTTAATACTGGGGTAAATAGAAGGGCATGTGCCATTTACCAACCTTATTCTTCACCATTTCTATCCCAATCATAAGGCCTTTGCCACGGACATCTCCAATGATCTCAAACTTCTCTCTCAGTTTAGCAAACTCCAATAGCATGTAAGCCCCCACTTCTTCGCTGTTCTTTTGTAGACCATCTTCTGCAATAGCCTGGTTAAAAATGATGTACAAAGACCAATGTTGTGGGAAAGAATCAAATACAGAACTTGGCTAATCTGCACACCTATAACCGGCCTGCAATCTCATTACCCCTCAGCAAAGATTTACAACAGGCTTGTATTATTAAGCCTGCCTTAAATTTGACCTCTTCAAGTATAATAGGAAATGCTGTAAAAAAACTAAGCTACACTTGTCAAATTAACCAACATAGCTTATGTCATATTCTTTTTTTTAATGTTTACCCACCAATTAATAATTGATCTCCAGGTTCTAGGGTATATTTGAGGTTTGACTGCATATAAAGCTGACCATCGTAATCCGTTTAAAAATCTTTGCCAGGTTCAGTTTAGCCCTCTTTCCCTTGCCATAGCAGTGCCAAGCTATGTGAGAGGCTTACTGCCAAATTATAGGCACATTACTCCTTGTAAAGCTTTCTGGGAAACACCTGAGTACATTACTAAGCTCTATTTAGCAAAGCATTCACTTTAAAATGCAGTAACTTAATTTGATTTATTTCTAGCAGCCCCCAGCTCCTGGCACACAGTCTAATATCTTGACTGTGCACCAGGAGCTGGGGGCTGCTGGAAATAAAAACAAAAAGATACTACTGTATTTAATCACTGACCAATACGAACCTGCTTTTACACTGAATTGCAAAAATGAACAGAACAATATATTTTGCAATTTGAGAGTCTAAAACTGCCACATTGTCTTAATTTAATCCTGTTCAGATTTTGAGGATTGTGGATAAAACAGAACCTGGATCTGAACTACTCTGGTAACAGTTATATTAAACAAAAAATATGAGGTGTTGGATCTCCTAGGTTTTTTAATTACTATGCTGACTGTGATAGTAGAGAGTGGTGCAGAGGACCAACAGCCTATTCTGTTGGAACAAGGCCAGTAAATCAGGGTGTAATAAGGGAGCCAGATGTTCAGAACCCGGCAATACAGTTTTAAAATGAGGTTTAAGGAAGGATATTTACATGTGACCAAGTGAATGTGGCTGTTTGTTACACACTAAATTACCTCACATCAATAGGGGCATGTGTGCAGCTCATGCTTTTCAAGGTGTTGCATGAGGATTTAAATTGACTTTTTTTTTTTTTTAAGTGGAAGCTCTGAGGGTTAAAATACATTTTAAGTGTGTACCTCAGAATAAGTGCTTTTGCTAGTTTAGAGGATTTCTATAAAGGAAAAATGATGAGAACTCCATGGGACAGAACTACTTAGAATTATGAGAGCTACGTAAGTAAATTCCATTTATACTTCTATTGACAAACAGGAAGCAAAGAATGTAAGCAAGGAAAGAAAAAGATGAAGCTGTCAATCACAGTATTCTCCCTAGAGTAATTTAATCCTCCTATTCCTGCTACAAGTTGAAATCAGTTATAGAAATGGGAATAGCCAGGCAATTTATTTTTTCTACAAGTGCATATTGCCCATGAATTAATAAAAATAAATGTTTGTCTCATTTTCTGTATGTATTAGAAGTTCCACCATTGGAAAGGGAAGTAGCATGAAGCTGCCTCTTCCATAACGCATAGCAAACAATACTGTAAGACATTATGAACGTATCACTTTCTTCTTACATCAAGAACTGCAGATCCAACTACACAGGCCATAGGGTTTCCTCCAAATGTGTTAAAATGAAGGTTCTGAGCCAAGGAATTTGCAATCTCTAAAAGAAAAAGAATACTCATTGATTTCCTGCCTCACAATTACCTGAAGTCTGGTGATAGTACTTATCAGTTTTAGCTTCACATTTAATAATACTATGCATCATTCTCCGTTTTACTGCAGGCAAAAGGAGAAGAAAACGGTATATTCTTGGTAACCGATTTAGGGCAAAGTTCCAGAAAATATATGATCTGTGTAGCAGATGCTAAAAGGAAGGTGAATGGATTTTAATAGATGAACATTTAAGTTTCCAACAGAGCTAGTGAATTATCCACTACAGCAATGAATAAATCCATTATTTCTCTGAGACATTAAATCCACTGAATCGTTAGTATTAACTAGTCAACAATTCTAGAGTTGTCCAGAATGCTTCCTTAGTATTAAAGGTATGTCTAATGGGTAGGGCAGTGAACTCAGTCAGGATTTCTGAGTTCGGTCAGTTCTACCAACGACTCGTTTGGGCTAGATGCTGATCTCAGTTACCCCAGTATAACTCCATTGATTTTAATGGTTTTACTTTAGATTTGAACTGGTGTAATGAGGAGCACAATCTGAGTTTGATAAAAAAATTACAATCAATGCCTCAGTATTTTGTACGTGTGCAATGGGGATCATACTTACCAACCCCATAAGTATGTTCTGAGACTAAATATATTAATATTTCTAAGGTAATCTGGTTGGACAAAAGGCTCTATGGAAACTAAGTTATTCTACAATATATTTATTATTCACCTCAACTTCATGCTTTAAAATAACAAATATTTATACCTGGTGTGGTTACGACAGCTGCCATTGGAAAGCCATTACCAATTCCTTTTGCCATGGTAACAATGTCAGGGACTACACCATGTGTTTGAAATCCCCAGAAATGGCTGCCAGTTCGTCCAAACCCTGTCTGGACCTTTCAAAAGAAAATCCAACATTGTTTAAGTTGTTTCTTGGTTTCATATTTTGTATTTAATCTGTGCCTTTCTGTTACCAATTTGCACTTGTAGACTCTAAATGCCAACTTTATTCTAGCAGGATCCTCATTCAACTCATCCTCACACATTTTCTTTCCTATGCTAAATAGTGACTGTAGTACAAGACAGGTTCCACTATTGATTTTGTTAACAGCTCATCTTTATAGAGACACTGTACACTTGATACAAATGAAAAGTGGTATTATATACATCCTAAGACTATCTCCCGTTATTACACAATTTAAATCTAGTATTGTTACTCAAAACATAATTGAGTTAATATAAAGAACTCCATTAGAGAAACTATACTGTGATGAACCTGCTAAGCAAGAGACTACAATTCCCATCAGTCCCTCACCACTGCACATCCCCTTCCTCCTGGCCAGGTAGGAGAATGTATCCTCATCCAGGAAATGCCCAGGCAGGAGACTACATTCCCCATTATACCTTCTTTTCCCTTGGCCAGGCAGGAGAAAGGACCCTGTTCAGGAAGTGACTGGGCATTTTCAGGGAGCAGAAACTGCTATGGTAAGCCAGATACAGGGAAGAACCCCCAGGAATTGTATACAGAGCCCTGTGAGGAACAAGCTGAGACTGCCACATGTTACAACTGGTACGCCTGGGGGAATTCTGTGCCAAAAAATTCTGCGCACAATATTTTAAAATTCTGCATATTTTATTTGTCAAAATAACACATTATAATCACACCAGTTTCAATTATTTTTGGTCATTTATTTCAAAATATCTGTCAGCAAGTATGTCTGTAACAATACAGACAACAAAAAAGATTCAGGAAATGTTTTTTTTTGACAAATAGATTCCTTACTAGGCATATTAATACAGAACTCTGAGTAACAAATTCATTTAAACTACAATAATGAACCATATTTCCTGCACCCTCAGAAGCGGTGCAAAGGCCGGGGGGAGCCAGGGGTAACGGAGGAGCTGAGGGAGAGGGAAGTAAATTGTTGGGAAGGAGCCTGGGTGTGAACTTGTGAGGGTTGTTGGGTATGGGTGGGAAAAGTATGGAACAAGTTTTTTGGGGTGGTGGGGATGGAGTGTTAGGGAGCTTCCCCCATGCAGACCCTGGCTGACCCCCAGCCTCTCCCATTCAGTCAGGCACATCTGCCCTGTCCCCATGTGTCCCTCTACCCCCATTCAGACACCCCATCCCCCAGTGTCTGTGCCCCACTCAGCCACCCCTTCCCCCGTAGCTCTGCTGTTCTTGTGCCACAGTGCCCTCTGGTGGGCAAAAGGCAGAACTGCAGCAACATTTTGGCAGAAGCCTTTTCTGTGCAAAAAAATTAAAATATGCACATCTCATTAATTATGCACACATGCAGTAGCGCAGAATTCCCCCAAAAGTTAACTAGGTCTGTGTGGGACTGATGGGGAAGCGACAGGGCAGGGAGCCAGTGCAAAGCGACCCTAATGAGAGACTCACCACTAAGTGATCCTGTCCTTGAAATCTGCAAATTCATCTTTGCTTGAATACAAACCAGACTGGAAAGGCCACCCCAGGTACTCAAACTGAAAAGCCCTAACTCAATTGGCTGCCCCAGGGACCCAAACAAGAACTGCTATTGCTCATTTTGAACTGCAACTGTTTAAGCCTCCGTGCCTAGGATATTCGCTAACTTCCCCATTCCTGCCAGCCCTGATAAAATACCCTTTCACTTAGTCATGTGTCTGAGTAGTTACTGGGACCCACCAGGATTAGCACCTACAAGGCCTAGTTGCTGAAGCATCTAACAGAGCTTGCTTCTGAGTTATGATACACCTGGCACATTACTGGTACCTTAATGGTTTGGTGTACTCCAGCACTGACCAACTATAAAAATTACAATACTAAGAAAGTGTTTTTTTACAATGAGAGAGCTAACACCTTTTCTCCTAGTAAACATGGCCAGAGGGACTGGGAAGCTGTCAGTTCCACTAAAGTCAATGGGAATTGCATCTGTGTAGCACTTTTCAGAATCTCCAGTTTCAAGCTATAATAATTCTACCACCCCTAACACCTCTAGCATCCATCATAGTCACTTAAACTGCTTCCCTAACAGAGTTAGTTAGTAGTAATTCAGATTGTCTTAACCAAGCAAATTAGATTTAAAATGTGTAACTGCCAGGGCCGGCTCCAGCTTTTTTGCTGCCCCAGGCGGCGAAGCAAAAAAAAAAAAAAAGAAAAAAAGATAAAGCCACGATCGGCGATACTTCGGCGGCAGCTCTACCGCGCCGCTTCATTCTTCGGTGGCAATTCGGCGGCGGATCCTTCCCTCTGAGATGGACTGAGGGACCTGCCGCCGAATTGCTACCGAAGACCTGGACGTGCCACCCCTCTCCATTGGCCGCCCCAAGCACCTGCTTCCTTCGTTGGTGCCTGGAGCTGGCCCAGATAACTGCAGAAGAGTTGCAGCAGGCTCCCCTCTAAAGTTACAGAGGTACTTGCCTTGTCTACACTACAATTTCACAATTTGATTAAAGATTAAAATTTTACAAACGTAAAAACTGTTTTCCTAATGCAGACATAGCCTCTCTGGATCAGGCCTCAAATGAGTAATGGTAAGAGTTTAAGAAAAAAATTTCTGCTGATGTAAACAGGTCAATGGAGCTCTACCCATTTACACAACCAGCGAGTGGGACCCTAAGAGTTTGCAACATAAACTGTCAACTGAGTACTATTTGTGTTAATTTAATGCACATGAAAGTGAAGGATTAATAACTTCTGCTACTAGCTTTGTCTAGCAAAGGCTCTTGTGCTGGAATGCCGCACTTTGTTCCCCTCTTAGGCTGTGAAACAGGAAAAGATTAATTAAAGTAAATTTAGAATTTAATATAAACTATTTCCAGGTCTATCTTTTGCCTTCATGCAATTGCTGGATTTTGTAGTGGCCTGTCAGAAATATCTCAATCCCCAAAAAATGTATTTCTGGATACTCACTTCATCTGCAATACAGACGCCTCCTCTTTCACGCACTAGCTGAAAAGCTTCCTTTAGAAATCTTTTAGGATACTGAATGGCTCCATTAACACCCTGTCAGAAATGCACAAATATATTGTCTTCAGCACAAACGCTACACCACAAACAGGGGCAAGCCTCAGGGTGATCAGACAGTGAGAAATCTAGGCAGAACTTTAATTCACTAGATGACTTAATGACCAAAGTCCCTTTTGTGGTAGATCTGTTTAGCCGCATTGCTAAATGGGCAGAAAGTGGATCTCTTTTGAACTTGAATTCCCACTTTGTATCAATATTACATGGGCTATAAGAATAAAACAATATGAAGAGTTAGGAGACAGTGAAGAGTAAAAGATAAAACATGATGTCAGCTTTCTCTCTTTAATGCAACATTTCCCAAACGGTGGGTTGCAACCCACCTGTTGGCTGCAGGAAGGTTCTAGGTGGGTCACAGGCCCAATGTGAAGAGGAGTTGGGGGGGACGGGGGGGGGAGGGGAGATGAGCCCATCCCTATTCACTGCACAGCAGCAGCTTCTGTTCTGTGGGGCTGGGCCCAGTTCCCTGCTCTGGCTGTTGCAACCTAGTAGATGGGCTAAACCTGAGTGGTGCTGCGACCCCATCTGCCAGTCCTGTAGGTCCCGTCTCATTTCCCCTCACCCCTCCAATCTGGACCCTGATTGGGTCACAAAGAGAGGCAAAGTAACAGAGGGGTAGCCGTGTTAGTCTGAATCTGTAAAAAGCAACTTGCATCTGATGAAGTGGGCATTCACCCACGAAAGCTTATGCTCCAATACTTCTGTTAGTCTTAAAGGTGCCACAGGACCCTCTGTTGCTTTTTAAAGAGAGGCAAAAAAAGTTTCGGAACCACTTGTCTAATGAACCAACACCAAATATGCTTCAGAGAATTATACTCTATATGGCGACAATATCTGGAAAGTTGTATCACTTGTAGGCATGTTATTACCAGAACGGGACAAACCGGCGAGAGTTCAAAGACCAACAGCAAACATGAACGGAGAGCTGGAGAAAATGATTAGGAGAAGACTAAAATAAATATATACACTTAGGCTAAACTGCCAAAGATGGAGGGATAACATAATAATCCGGGAGTATATAAAGGCTGCAAAACCCCAGTGGATGGAGAGAAATTAGGGGAATACGTAGGTATAATGGGATGAAACTAAGCAAGGGAAAATTTAGTCCTAATATCAGGACAAAATTCCCTTCAGTGAAACTGTTATACTCTAAAGTATATTCCCAGTGGAACAGATTGAAACCTCAGCACTAGGAAATTTAAAATTAGACTAGGTATAACACCAGAAAACATACTGTAGGGCATAACCTTGGTTTTCGAGCAAGATGGACTTGATGGCGTAACAGGCCTTTCACTTCCCTAAATTAGACTAATATCTTAAATAATGGACTATGAGGTTCATGTCATAGGGGAATGCCTAGAGCCTGTATGAATTAAATGAAACTTAACTACAGCTGCACTGCCAAAAGAGACAGAGATTAGGAGAGTCAGAAGTTAAGTGCGAGGGAGTCAGAAACTATAAAGGAAAGCAGAGGGGGAGAGAGAATTCTGTGGATTTGCTAGATAAACTCGGCATAGTGCGATTTGAAGATAAAAGTAATTCCTAAAATTAATTCTCTATGTTATAACAATTAGGCATTTTAAAGGATAATTTACTTTACACTCACTGGGTATCTGTAACTTACAGGGTTACTTTAATACTTTTAACAGACAACTTCTACAGAACCAGTATACTACAGAAGGGAAAACAACATGTAATTAGGAATGAAGTATTATAAACTAAGTTACAGCCTGCACATTTGTATAATTTATTAGCATTTCAATATCCTGAGAATGCAAAGAAGACCTTAAAGAATAATAGTTTACAACAGAGCTCTGTACACTTTTTAATCTATCAACTGATAGCATATATGCTATTGCTAAACACAAACCGGATAGGCAACAGTGGTTAAAATTACCTGTTTTGCTTGAGCCTGCCATATTTTATTAAATACTTGTATATTCATTAGAAATAATTTGCTAAATATTTAAAATCAATCTATGAAAGGGACATTAAGGCTTGTAAGACTAAAATTTGATTTACCAGTTTTGTTTTGTAGGAATATTGTGCAGCTCAAGTTGCCCACTGGTCTGTTATTGAGTAGACAGGATATGGAAAATATAAGAATCCTGTTCTCAGATATCAAGGGGGGGAAAAAACCAAAAAACAAAAACAATACAAAGAATGAAATCCTGGCTTCACTGAAGTCAGAGGCAAAACTCCCATTTTACTTCAATGGGGCCAGGATTTCTCCAAGATGTCTGATTGACAAGTCACCCTCCTGGAAAAAAGTTAAGATTTAAGTAATGTTGCAGCCCTTCCTTTTGAATGATCAAAGTGATTCGGAGAAGATTAAAATTGCTATTGTTACAGGGAAGTTACATTTAGGGCTTGTCAAACTTGTAAAAGACCCATTCAGGTTTTAGCTCTTTGTGGTTTACTTTACTATTACAAGTCACTTACCTGAATTGGCTCAGCGATAAACCCAGCTATTGCCTTTGGCACACAAGTCCTCAGAGTGTCTTTGAACTGTTCAATGTACTGGTCGTTTGCTTCACAACAGCCTGTGTTGAGGAAATACTGATAAGAATAATGTACTGAAAATAATATAAAGTTAGATTAATAATGTGAAACCGCAATGTTTTAACATATGTAAATAAGAACATCTCTTTAGTGTTTTAACGTATGTAATAAGAACTATAATGTTTCCAGATTAGCGTTACCAAAGGAAATTAATCATTTTGTTTCCCCACATATGTTCTGTGGCAGCAAGTCAGTCTTTTTTCTTAGTTTTCCTAGGTCACAGAAGTTACAAAAGAACCTCAGTCTGACCGTATGGCATCTTTCTCCCCTCCTACAAAAAACCCCCAAGCCACTAAGCTTTTTTAAACCATTTATTCTCTAAAAAGTTCCACAGAATCATAGCGTGCCAATAGGAAGTTGCAGCATATGAGGTTTGCCCCATCCTTCAGACCAGTGCTATAGATGCAAGGCGGGGGGCAGTTATTAGAAGAACTGAACATCAGCCCAAGGAATGAACGAGCAGTTTGCCTGAATAAGAAAACCTAACTGGTTTCAAAACTCAGCTTGAGACAATTATGGAGGGGATGGTATGATAAGATTGTCTACAGTGGCACATGGCCCACCTGTGAATGCTAGACACGGGACACTAGATGGGGAGGACTCTGAGTTACTACAGAGGAGTCTTTCCCAGCTGTCTGGTTGGTGGGTCTCACCCACATGCTCAGGGGCTAACTGATCACGATATTTGGGGTCAGAAAGGAATCTCCCCCCGGGTCAGATGGGCAGAGACACTGGGGGCGGGGGGGGAGGGGGGAGAGAGAGGAGAGGCTCGCCTTCCTGTGCAGTATGGGGCACAGGTCACTTGCTTGTTTGAACTAGTGTAAATGGTTAATTCTCTGTAACCTGAAGTCTTTAAATCATGATTTGAGGACTTCAGTAACTCAGCCAGAGGTTATCGGTCTATTACTGGAGCGGGTGGGTGAAGTTCTGTAGCCTGAAATGTGCAGGAGGACAGACTAGATCAGGGGCCATCTGCGGCCTATGAGCCTCCCCAATGTGGCCTGCGGGGCTCCAGCAGTTTTGGGGCCGGGTCTCTCCCTTGGCCCCACCTGTCACCCCCAGGCGCCCCCACTCAGGGGTCTGCCTGCTTGCTCCAGTGGCTGCCAGCCCCATCCTTCGGGTAAGGGGCAGGGTGGGGCTGTGCCTCCACGCGCTGTCCCCGCCCCGAGTGCCCCTGCAGCCAATGGGACGCTGCAGGGGCGGTGCCTGGGGGCAGAAACTCACGGAGGCCCCCCGCCCCGCTTTGGAGCCCCAGGTAAGCCCCTCACCCCCGACCCCCTCCCAGAGCCTGCACCCCCTTCCCACACACCCCCTCCCACCCCCAAACTCCCTTCCAGAGCCTGCGCTCTGTCCCCACACCCCCCCAGCCTCCAAACTCCCTCCCAGAGCCTGCACCCGATCGCCACATTCCCTCCCGCCCCCAAACTCCCTCCCAGAGCCTGCACCCCCTTCCCACACCTCCGCAGCCCCCAAACTCCCTCCTAGAGTCTGCACCCCATCCCCACACCTCCACAGCCCCCAAACGTTATCCCAGAGCCTGCACCCCGGACTCCCTCCTCCACCCAAACTCCCTCCCAAAACCCAACCTCTCACCCCTTCTGCACCAAACTCCCTCCCAGAGCCTGCACCCCGATCCCCTACCCCAGAGCTCCTCCCTCACCCAAACTCTGTCCCAGAGCCTTAGGCAGGTGAGGGGCGGAGTTTTGTGGGGGAGCGGGTTCTGGGCAGCATGAGTGACATTGGCCCGCTCGGAGGATTTGAGAACTGGCACTGGCCCTAAGGTAAATTGAGTTTGAGACCCCTGGACTAGATAATCACAATGGCCCCTTCTGGCCTTAAAGTCTATGATATGATAAATATAAGACTAAGTACATCTTGGTCCAGCATGATTTCTAATGAAAAGGCAGATAGGAATATTATGGAAAATATGACTGTATGTGACTGGGCATCACTATGTACTGTAACAGAACACAAACCAGATGTCTTCAAGTAGTTGCAAGCTACTCCTTTTATTCACCATCAGCGACAAAGAAAGATGGCAAGAGACTGCTTTGTTGTGTATTTAGGGAAAAGTGAGTAAACAATGTTTATTGCACCTAGAAGAAAAACAATTTATTTTCTAATCGTCACTTGTAAAAGAACAGTGGAGCTTTCACATCAACTTGTGGAACTCCTTGCCTGAGGAGGTTGTGAAGGCTAGGACTATAACAGCATTTAAAAGAGAACTGGATAAATTCATGGAGGTTAAGTCCATTAATGGCTATTAGCCAGGATGGGTAAGGAATGGTGTCCCTAGCCTCTGTTTGTCAGAGGGTAGAGAGGGATGGCAGGAGAGAGTTCACTTGATCATTACCTGTTAGGTTCACTCCCTCTGGGGCATCTGGCATTGGCCACTGTCGGTAGACAGGATACTGGGCTAGATGGACCTTTGGTCTGACCCAGTACAGCCGTTCTTATGTTCACATGGACTGGACACACTGTGCAGCATCCATAATGCCTTGTTCCATGCAAGACTTTTGCCACCCAATGTTCCAGAGTTTTTGATTTATAGTTTACGTTGATCACGTCCCTTCAAGATCAAAGATGGACAGCTACCAAAACTTTACCCAGGAGAGCAGAAAACACATTTGTTAGTATCCCTAATCTCCTGGCAACTCTAAATATTTCAGAGCAGCAGGCTACTGATTATGAGAATTGAACTTGACTCAGTCATTAGGGGCTCAATTCAGGATTTTCAAAGGATTCTACAGGAGTTAGATGCCCAGCTCCCACATATTTCTGAAAGGGAGTTGAGGATCCAATTCCAAAAAACTACCTTGGCATACATTTTGGTGGAGGGGGTAAAACATTTTATAGAACTCCTCAAATTAGCCCCTTTGAAAAAAATCACAGCCGAGAGGCCATATTGATGAAGACTTGCTTGCCAAAATTACAATCACCAAACTTCTCAGTAAACAGTAATATTCTTAGTAGTGTGCATTTTTAGTAGTGTATATTTGTCGATGTTGTTAAACATCCAGTTGCCTTCTCCAGTCCCTTTTCTTTTGCACCTACCAATGGACATTTTTTGCCACAATCTAACCTTGAGAACAGCTGCATTTCCGAATAGTTTGCACCAGAGAATCTCGGCAATGGCTTCCTCCCCAAGGACCATGAAAAACATCTGGTAACATTGTCTGTAAAGCACAACAAACAGCTGTAATTTGGCCAGTGTGAGGAATGTAAGTACTGATCAACAGAATTTTTTTATTTACACTGATCATTCGAAAGTCATTAAACACTTATTCCAATATTGTTGTTTTGTTTAAATAGAGCTTGTGATAAAGAGAACTCAAAAATCCGAAAACAACTTGTGAAAAAAATAAATAAGGACCATTTGCCCCCCCCCCTCACAGATTTGAGGCCTCATGCAGAAAGTGAGGGAGAAGGCCAGAAATTAAAGTTTCTGAAGTTAGAAACATTCTGTCCTCAAGTGACTATTTTGGGGGGTATTCACTCACGGCTGACCTGTTTATTTTTTAGTTATGTTAGTTAATTATTGTTACCCAAGATTCACTACAGTTTTGTCCAAAATGGCCAGTTTAATTCCAAGAATCCCTAGAAAAAGAGCAGTAAAGTCAGAGAATTATAGGGCTGGAGGGGACCCTAAGAGATCATCTAGTCTAGCCCCATGCGCTGAGGCAGGACCAAGTATAACGCAACCATCCCTGACAGGTTTTTGTCTAACCTGTTCTTAAAAATCACCAAGGATGGGGATTCCACAATCTTGCTTGGAAGCCTGTTCCAGAGCTTAACTATCCTTATGGTCTGAAGCTTTTCCTAATATCTAACCTGAATCTCCCTGGTGCAGATTAAATGGATTAATTCTTGTCCTACCTTCAGTGGACATGCAGAACAATTGATCCCAGTCCTCATTATAAACAGCCCTTAACATATTTGAAAACTTATCAAATACCCCCCTCAGTCGTCTTTGCTTAAGACTAAACATGACCAGGTTTTTTAACCCTCTCTCTTAGGTCAGGTTTTCTAAACCTTTTATCATTTTTATTGCTCTCCTCTGGACTCTCCCCAATTTGTCCACATCTTTCTTAAAGTGTGGCACCCAAAACTGGACACAACACTCCATCTGAGGCCTCATCAGTGATGAGCAGAGTGGGACAATCACCTCCAGTGTCTTACATATGACACTCCTGTTAATACACCCCAGAAAGATATTAGCCTTTTTTGCAACTGCATCACATTGTTGACTTATATTCAATTTGTGATCCACTATAACCCCCAGATCCTTCTCAGCAGTACTAATGCCTAGCCACATATATTCCCCATTTTCCTATTTGTGCATTTGATTTTTCCTTCCCAACTGTAGTACTTTGCACTTGTTTTTATTGAATTTCATCTTGTTGATTTCAATAAATTTCTCCAATTCATCAAGGTCATTTTAAATTCTAATGCTGTCCTCCAAAGTACTTGCAACCCCTCCCAGCCTAGTGTTATCTGTGAAGTTTATAAGCATATTCACTCCATTATCCAAGTCATTAGTGAAAATATTGACTAGTACCAGACTCAGGATAGACTCCTGGCAGGACATCATTTGATGTGTCCTAGACATCTGACAATGAACCACTGATAACTACTCTGAGTACTGTTTTTCATCCAGTTATCCACCTTAGAGGGACGCAGTGAAGTCTAGTGGACTCATGATAGTGGGCTGGAAGCCAGGAACTTATACACTCTAATCCTGACTCTGCCAATGACTATGTGACAATGGGAAAGTCATTTAATAAATTCTATGGGCCAGATTCTCAGCTGCACTCAAAGAAGGCTGGATGCATCGAAGAGCCAGGGGGAAGGAGCACATCACAAAGGAGCCCTTTGGGGGCCAGTTCTGTGGCTGGTCTGGTTCCTGGCATAGATTACAGTAGCCAACACCAGCTGCCACAGCCTCTAGAAACCATTCCCGCAGCCATGGGTCACCAAGCTGTAGAGATACCATGCACACCCCTTTCCCCAGACACAACCCGTATGGTGGGGACTCTGAGGGGGTGTTGTAGGAGTCACTATGTATTTCCAAAATATTTTCAGTCCAAAAGGGAATCCCCTATGGGCCATCTTTAAGCAGCTTTGCAACAGCAAACCAGGACAAACCTGCCCTAACAGACCTAAGAATAGGACCCGAAGGGCAATACGCCATTGCTCTGCATCTTGTGCAGCATTTATACCAGTACAAAGCGAGAGCCAAATCGGTATAAAACACTATCATTCTCATTGCTAGCATTCTTCATTTGCTCTGTGTGGATACACAAGGGTGCAGTGAAATGGTGAATTAGGCTGTATATATACTACTTATCAACCTCAGAGGACTACAGGGAGGCTTGAAGATGTAAAGCATTACATAAATGCTGTAATATTCAGACAAACAGAAGACTTGTTATTCAGCAGATGTTACAAAAAGCAACAAAAACCTCACTGTTTGGCAGCCAAACCCATTGGCGACACCATGCTTATAAGAGCCAATGGACGTCAAGCCCAGTGTGTATGGACTGGCTCCGTGGTATCCTCCTCTGTGTGAACAGAACAAAGCACACAAACAACATTCATTTTCTTCTGATTACACTAGCTGCATATGTTTTTAGGAGGAAACAATATCAGTATTCACAGAAGGCTGGTTTCTGATGTGTATGTGGAAGACAGCAAATCATTGGAAAACATGGGTGCATCCAGTAAGGGATGCCTCTGCCCTATATGCTACTCTGTTTTGAGTGCCTACCAGCTGGGAGTTTTCACTGCAATTTAAAGCACACTTAAAAAATAATACAGGTCTGTCGCATCTTACGCGCATTTAACATGCGCAATTTCAGCTTTACGCGGTCGGCAAAACAAAACAAAAAGAGAGAAAAATAACAATTTTAATACTGTACCTGTAGTGCGGGTGATTCCGCCCACCATTACACTCAATGTAATTTTGACTATACGCCATTTTCGCTTTACGCGCTGACTGCGGAACGTAACCCCAGTGTAAGATGTGACAGACCTGTACGTGAATTTAGTGCTCATGAAGGTGAAGGGCTAAGAACACTGGTTGGAGCCAACGGCAAGATTCCTCATGCAGGTCTGCCAGAATATCTGAATCCTACATGACAAACACCCCTGCTGTTTTAATCTTGGGCTCCTCGTCTCTGAAGTTGTTACTGCCACTCATGAGAAACCGGGTAGTGGTTTGGGGTTAGTTTAATAAGCAATTCAGAATTCATTCATGGGAATTAATATATCAGGTGGATTTCAGAATCCTGTGCTCAGCAGGATGGCTGCAAGACTACCAGTTTGTTAAGGTCTGTCTTTCTAACTATTTTTAAAGGTGTCTATTACCAAGATGTCTGAGCAGAATGGACATGGTTTATAATACTAAAAAAAAAAAAAAAAAATTACACACCTTACTTAAGGATTAAAAACAGAAGTTATAGGTCGTAGGTGAATGCATGATTTGTAAATGGAGTATTTCTAACACAAGCAGACTTGCTGAATCTTAGCTCCCAATGACTACTGCTGTTTTACTCTATTTTGGCAGACAAATGAATTTTTAGGATGTGTCTGTGCCAGAATCTGGTTAACAAGGTCTCAGCCTCTTTTTCACACAATATACAGATATACAGATTGATTATGAAAAGGGAGTTTCATAAAGCACCCTAATATAATTACCTGAAACAGATGAGGTCAAAGTTACGAGTATAAACCCTTGCCATGAACATAGCCAAATCATTGGCTTCTGACCCACTGTTAGTCAGGTAAACCACCTAAGGAAGAATAAATAGCACAATTGTAATC